GCTGATGTGCTGGTGAGACCTTGGGGCCTTGCCCCATACTTGTGCTTTATAACAACCACTTATTGGGCCCTTAAAAAGGAATGGTTTTCTACCACAGAATTTCAGACAGGTGGCAGGTGATGATGGTGATATTTGGGGCTGAGAGGGCGTTGGAACATAAAACAGAAAAGTATAGTCAGTCGCGGTACCAACTCATTCGACCAGGCCCATCTTCAGAGCTCCAGGCCCAGGACGGTATTAGGATTAGCGTCAACGCGACTCTAGCCCCAGCTGGTTTTCAGGAGGAAAGGGGCCCGTGGGACATGGAACAGCCAGAGGGACTCACTCCTCCCCTGGATGGAGGACCTGGGACTGCATATCGTTCTGCCTCTTGACTCCAGAAACCCCGCACCCCCCAGCCCACATCAAGCCTGGGTGGACCCACCTTCTGCAGCTCAGAGGAGACATTGCACAAGCTGCTGGGAGGGGACGCCCGCTGGCACCGCTGTTCCCCACTGCTCAGGGCCCAGGAGTTGGCAAAGTCGTAGGGGTCCGAGGTCAAGGTCCCTGTAGAGAAAGTTTCAGGAGGATGAAGCCACGGTCGTGAGACCCGGGACTTCTGAGTGAGAACTCTAGGTCTGTTGTCACCTGAATCAACTTTCTTTAGATTAAAACATAGGCATCTGTGGCAGGAGTACCCCAGCATTAACACCACAGGGCACGGGCAGCCGGGTTCAGCCAGCGTCTGGTGGGGGGCGGCTGGGCGGCTGGGCACAGTGAGGAAGATGCCAGGAAAGGCGATGAGGAACAGTCCACCCACTCTCGCTTCTCGGGACTTTGCTCCCTTTCCTCCTTCTGTGAGGAATGTTCTCCACCCCCTTACTACCCTGACTCTCTCAATTTATTCTTTGAGATGCAGCCCCGGAACCACTTCCTCCAGGAAGCCCTTCTGAATTAGCTCGACTCCCTGTCTCCCTCCCCAGTCTGGTTGGGTGCCCCTTCTCTGTGCTCCCTCAGCACCCTGGCCATCCCTCTATCAAAGCTCTCATCATCCTTTGTGTTAGTATCCTTTTTGCTTATATTCACCCCCCATTCAACTGTGAGCTCCTTAATTCAGGGCACAGGCTGTGCCTCTTATCTCTAAACTCTTATCTGCTAGATGGTGGATACTCAACATATTTTTGCAGAATGAAGGTAAGAATGTGGCATGAACCTAAGCATCCCCATCACTGCATCCCTGGTGCTCGCAGAGAATCTGTGCCCTGGTACTCACAGCAAACACGCTCTTATCAGCTACCCACAAGAGACTGTGAGGGTCTTCCGGGCCTGCATGGCCTGGTACCAAGTCAGTGCCAGATAGAACTGCTGCACCTTCACTGCAAAGGGGCTTAGTGGAGCAGCAAGGCAAGCAGTCCCTCTGCATAGCCAGATACGGAAGAGTGAAGCACGCTTCAAGGTCAGATCATGCACCTGGAAATAGAAAATAAACTATCCCCGGAAAAAGAAAAGCAGGACTTGGAAGTATAGTGAGTTGGCCTCTGGGTGTGGTGAGCAGAAAAAAAGGGCCCCCAAAGATATGTCCACTTCCTAGTTCGCAGAACCTGTGAATATTTTACGGCAAAAGATGTGATTGAATAAAGGATTGTGAGAGGAAGAACTTATCCTGGGTTCACTGAGTGAGCCTTAAACGCAATCACATATGTCCTTATAAGAGAGGGGTAAGGACTTCCCTGGTGGTCCAGAGGTTAAGATTTTGCCTTGCAATGCAGGGGGTGTGGGTTCCATCCCTGCTCGGGCAGCTAAGATCCCACATGACTCGTGCCCCAAAAAAGTAAGCAAACAAACTAAAACAGAAGCAATATTGTAACAAATTCAATAAAGACTTTAAAAATGGTCCACATCAAAAATAAATCTTTAAAAAAGAAAGAGAGGGGCAGAGGGAGATCAGACAGAGACACACACAGAGCAGGCAATGTGCAGACCGAGGCAGAGATTGAAATGATGCAGCCACAGGTCAAGGATGGCTGGCAGTGGCTGGAAGAGGCAAGGCACAGATTCTCCCCAGAGCCCCTGGAGGAAGTGTAGTCCTGTCATCAACTTGGTTTTGGACTTCTGGCCTTCTAGAATTGTGAGAGAATAAATTTCTGTTGTCTTAAGCCATCAAGCTTGCAGTAATTTGTTGGCAGCTGCAGAAAACTAATACATGGAGAAGCCAAAGGGAAGGGCACTTAAATCTGTGAAGTTTCTACTATGTGCCAGGCATTATGATAGGCCTTCTCTGGGTGCTTAGTCACCACGCCACACAGGCTTGCCCACCTTCTAATATACCATCTCAAGGAAGAGGTGGAGCAGAGGCTTTGTGCTATGTGGGGAAAGCCCGAGAGAGAATCAAGACCCCTGGTCTGGTCTCAGTTCTCCTTCGGTCACCCTGTGTGATCTTGGGCTGATCCCATAATCCCCTGAGCCTGATTCCTCATATGTAAAATGATGGGTTAGACTAGAGGACCTCTAGATCCTTTCCTGACCTTTTAGGAAGTGAAACCCTATGGGCTAAATCTGAAATGAGACATAAGGATGTCTGATAGATGAATTTACAAGTCATCTCGCTTATAGAAAAATCTCTGAGAGCCAGAGTTAAAACCAGCTGGGCAGGCTCCCATGATGTCAGGAAGCAGGGTTAACTGTCGAGTCTTTGCCAACCAAAAAAAAAATAAACCCGCAGTCCTCTGAGAGTGATTTCCAAAATATCACCAGGGCCCTGACTTTTTGCCAACATGCACCACCTTCTCCCTAGGAACACAGGTCCCATTTTTAGTTAGTATTTCTTAATTGAAGTATAGCTGATTTGCAGTGTTTCAGGTGTACAGCAAAGGGATTCAGTTACACATATGCATATATATTCTTTTTCAGATTCTTTTCCATTATAGGTTATTACAAGGTATTGAATATAACCTGTGCTATACTGTAGGTCCTTGTTGTTTATTTTCTATACAGTAGTGTGTATCTGTTAATCCCAAACCATTTTTAGTTTTTTAGATCTTAAAGCCTGGAGAAAAAGTCATCTTAGGGCTGGGACTTCCATTTCTGGCAATACAGCACATTAGAAAAATCTGGAAACTCTGCCATTGCAAAGGACAAATATCCTGTTGAATCTGTGTTTAACCCCATTTTGAAAAGTCGACAGAATGACAAGGGACAAAAAAGAAAGAGAAGAAGGAAAGGAGGGAGGGAAGGGAAGAAAGTTTAAAAGCAAAGGAAAGAAAGTTTAAGAATAGAACTGGCAAATATGACTTGATGTTCTGACTACAGGGTATTACAGTTGGGGTGGCAATCTTGCCAACTAATGTGCTTGGGTTTTAACAGCTCCTTGGAGATTGATGGAAATGAGTCTTGGGCCTGCATGATGAAGGGAGATGGGCTTAGATCACTTTGTGAAGCTGGCAGTCTTGAAGGACTACCCCCTCCATGAGAAAGCAAACAAGAAAAAAATTCACTCTGAGAAGTAGGAAAATAATAAGGAAGTTTATTTCCTTGGTCTGGACTCTGAATAGGAGGGGAAAAGTCTCCTCTGAGAACTTATAGTGATAGGAAAGCCCTCATTTAGCAATGAGATTCCAATTTATACTTCTTGTGAGATTCAGTAACTCCATATTAAAAAATTAGCATAAAACCCTTCTAAAGATGAGCTTACGACCCAAAATTATGCAACATAGACAACAATCTACTTCAAGCAAGACCCAGCAGACATAAAGATAACATGATTCAAGCTCTAAAAACTTCAGATAATAAAGTTTTTGTACAGAGGTTATAAAAGAAATACATTTTAAATTGCTTTTATAAAGAAGAAATCAAAACTTGATAAAAGAACAAGACAATAAGAAAAATAATAGAGTTGAAAAAGTGCCAGATTTACCTTCTAAAATTACAAATATAGTCAATGAAATAGAAAAGTCAATTGATGGATTAGACATCATCTGTCAATTAGAGTTGAGAGAGAATTAGTGAACTAGAAGATAGATCTAAATAGTGATGTGCTGATAAGCCAGCTCTCTGGGGGGAAAGCAAAGCCCTGATTTGCTTGTTTCCACGGTGTAAATACTCCCACCATGGCCAGTTTCAAGCTACCAACATGACATTACTGAAAATGGAGCTGGAAAAGATGCACATGATTGGTTCTCACCAGCCAGCATGACCATACCACTCAAGCAACAAAGAGGGATAAAGAGATAGAAAAGTGGAAGTATGGAAAATAGGGTGGAATAAAAATATCCAATATATGTCTAACAGAAGAGAGCTCATTTCTCATCAGAAACTCTGCAAGCCAGAAGGAAGTGGCAAGATATAGTTAAAGTGATGAAAGGGAAGAACCTACAACCAAGATTACTCTACCCAGCAAGGATCTCATTCAGATTTGACAGAGAAATCAAAAGCTTTACAGACAAGCAAAAGCTAAGAGAATTCAGCACCACCAAACCGGCTCTACAACAAATGCTAAAGGAACTTCTCTAAGTGGAAGACACAAGAGAAGAAAAGGACCTACAAAAACAAACCCAAAACAATTAAGATAATGGTAATAAGAACACACATATTGATAATTACCTTAAATGTGAATGGATTAAATGCTCCAACCAAAAGACACAGGCCCACTGAATGGATACAAAAACAAGGCCCGGGCTTCCCTGGTGGCGCAGTGGTTGAGAGTCCGCCTGCCGATGCAGGGGATACGGGTTCGTGCCCCGGTCTGGGAAGATCCCACATGCCGTGGAGCGGCTGGGCCCGTGAGCCATGGCCGTTGAGCCTGCTCGTCCGGAGCCTGTGCTCCACAATGGGAGAGGCCACAACAGTGAGAGGCCCACATACCGCAAAAAAAAAAAACAAGGCCCATATATATGCTGTCTACAAGAGACCCACTTCAGACCTAGGGACACATACAGACTGAAAGTGAGGGCATGGAAAAAGATATTCTATGCAAATGGAAATCAAAAGAAAGCTGGAGTAGCAATATTCATATCAGATAAAATAGACTTTAAAGTAAAGAAGCAATTTGCATTCTGAGATAATTTTTTTCTTGTCTTATATTTCTATTTATTTTCTTCTTTTTCTTCACTTAATTCCAAAAGCAAATGTATTTATGACATTGTTGTCCAGTCCAGGTTTTTACACCCATATAACCAATGTGATAGGACCATAATTCATTATCTTTTTACCACTGAAAATTGTTTTATATTTGTAATGACAGAGAAATGGCTTTATAATGCTGATACTGGTGGCAAAGAACAAATAGTCGGCTACTTCAATTACCAGTAATCTCAGCTGGAAGAGGCCCTGCTTCACACATTTTGCCAAAAATCTTGCAACCCATCTGAGGTAGAAACAGAGATGCACTACCGAGATCCCTTTCAAGCGGGACTTGATTTGCTCTTCAGAGTCTGTCTCAGCTACTGAGAACTCCCTCCTGATGTCATACCCTTCTAGAGGCAGTCCATATGCAGTGAGCGAGTGGGGCCCAGACATCTTAGCCTGGTATGGAACATTCTGAGGGGCAGTCCTTGCTCTAGAGCTGTCCCTCTGCTCAGCTCTCCTTCCTCCCTTTCCTTTCGATATTGATCTCTAATAAACATCTTGGACCATAGATTCCACGGAGATTAAATAAATAAATAAGAAAACACTCTGTTGGAGCATACATAGAACAATTACAAAAGATCATGTACTAGGCCACAAATAAATCTCCCCAAATTTCTAATTTAAATCAGAAATCAATTTAGTTGCAAAAGATAGCTTTTAAAATTCTAAACATTTAAAAAATTTAAGCACATTTAATAGATTGAGAAAAAACTCAAAGTGGAAATAGAAAATTCATACAACTCAATGAAAATGAAAATATTTACCCATCAAAGTTGGTGTGATACAACTAAGGCAGTATTTAAGGAAAGTTGATAGCCTCAAATGTACATATTGAACAATAAAAAGTTGAAGAAATCAGGGCTGGAGAAGACAGCAACAAATGATCTTACTATTCTCCAGTCCAATGAAAGGGATCATCAACTGTTTCTCTACACACTTACCCCTTAACCGTAAAAAACAAGGAGAACTTATACATAAATGTTCGGCTTTTGCAAAAGAACATCCCTACTTAAATGTTTATGTAATTGAAGTTATCAGAAGAAGAATAAAGATTAGCAGTGGTTTTCACATTGCCCATATCACTTCCTGTTGCTTGTGAGCACACACATGCACGCACACCCACGTAAACTAGCCTGTTTGGACAGTGTAGAGGACACCCTCTTTTTTTCTGGCCACACTGTGTGGTTTGCAGGATCTTAGTTCCCCAACCAGGGATCGAACCCAGGCCCCCTGCAGTGGAAGCACGGAGTCCTAACCACCAGACCACCAGGGAAGTCCCAGGACCACCCTTTATAGGTTTCATGCTCAAAGTTCCAACACAGTGGCTCAGTAGGATCTGTTCAAACCATCCAGCATTTATCAACCATCTGCCATGTGGGGAATTCAAGGCTGAACAACGTCAGGTCTGAGGAGCCCCCAAGGTCTGGTTTGACTGGGGGTCTAGGCAGCGACGTAGAACACTAAGAGGTAAGGTTGGCAGGATAAATTGAGCTGAGGACTTGGGGTGGCTGGAACGCCAGGGGAAGAGTCATAGTGAAGACTGGTGAGCAGGACAGCACAGCCATGCGTTCGGGAAACGGTGCCAGAAAAGCCTACCTTCTTGAGTCCGGAAGTCATCTTCGGCAAAGATGTTAAAGTTGCCGCACAGCCCACAGGTCTTGTTGAAGTGTCTGTCTGACAGCAGGACTTGAAAGTTGCCGCTGCCATCAATCCTGGCCACAAAGCCGTAGGCCTCGCTGGACAGCTTGTAGTACCCAGCCTCAGTTTCTAGGTACAGCCCTTTGGAGGCATAGGGCATGGAGACCCTGGAGGGACAGGAGGAACTCAGGAAGTGGCCTTCTCGTCCATTTTCTGGATGTCCCTCCACCCTTCAACCCAACCACGCTGCAGGATTCAGACCAAGGAGCAGAGGCTGTGTGCCTAGCCCAAGCGTTGGGACACCCCCCTCTTGCACACCCTGCTCACTTCCTCTGGGCACATCTATTTCCTCTCGCTGGGCCCTGCTGCTTCATCCGAAAGACGATGGGGGAGTACAGGGGAATTATCAGGGCCCCTTCTAATTTGACATTTCTGGGCTCCGACTTACCTCTGGTCCCCCTGCAGCACAGTACCATTGACAAACACATGGATATCGAAAAATTCCCCAAGATACACGGAGAGGCTCACTCTCTTGCCATCTTGGAAGTCCCCTGAAAGAGAAAAGAATTATTTAAACTGGGTAGCAATTATTACTCCAAAAAAGTGAATACATTTATTTATCATCATCTCTATAATCTTATCTCAGTGGAAAACTCCCCCCAAAGATTTAACAAATGGGCAAAAAAATTTCCCTAAAAACCTCATTGGCTCACTCATCTCTCCATTCATCTAAAAATATTTATTGTGTGCCTTCTAGACACATAGCCCTCTAGTAGTCTCTTATGTTTCTCAAAAGAGAAATGTAAAATTCTGACCCCTTCCTTCTGGGAGTTTACAATCGAAGTATAAAGATAAAATAAGCATGAGTCGGATGCATTCTAAGGCAGTGAATCAAAGCCACAATGTGGTTATTGGTGACAGGAACTCTGGGATGTGTTATTTAAAATGTTCTCGTAGAAAGGGACCCCTCCTACACTGTTGGTGGGAATGCAAAGTAGTTCAGCCACTGTGGAAAACAGTACGAGGTTCCTCAAAAAACTAAAAATCGAGTTGCCATATGATCCAATGATCTCACTCCTGAGCATATAACCAGACGAAACTATGCTTCGAAAAGATACATGCACCCCTATGTTCATTACGGCACTATTCACAATAGCCAAGATGTGGAAGCAACCTAAATGTCCATCAACAGATGAACGGATAAAGAAGATTTGTTGTATATATACCCCAATGTTCACAGCAGCACTATTCACAATAGCCAAGACACAGAAGCAAGGTAAATAAATGTCTGTCAACAGATGAATAGATAAAGAAGATGTGGTATATATATATATATACAATGAAATACAACTCAGCCATAAAAAAGAGCAAAATCATGCCATTTGCAGAAACATGGATAGACCTAGAGATTATCCTACTAAGCGAAGTAAGAAAGAGAAAGACAAATACCATATGATATCACTTACACGTGGAATCTAAAATATGACACAAATGAACCTATCTACGAAACAGAAACAGACTCACAGACATAGAGAACAGACTTGTGGTTGCCGGGGGGAGGGAGGGAAGGAAGGATTAGAAGTTTGGGATTAGCAGATGCAAACTGGTATATATAGAATGGATAAACAGCAGGGTCCTACTATAGAGCAAAGGGAACTATATTCAATATCCTATGATAAACCATAATGGAAAAGAATATGAAAAGGAATACATATACATGTATAACTGGGTCAATTGGCTACACAGCAGAAGTGAACACAACATTGTAAATCAACTATACTTTGGTAAAAATTCAAAAAGAATAAATAAAATGGAGATTCGTGTGTCTCTCCTCACTGTACTGAATTCGCTTCTCTGGGAGAGGTTTAGAGATAGCACAGGTAAAATGCCTCACTCTATGCGGGGAACTTAATAAGGACACAGATGTTGCCATTAGAGATGTTTGAATAGCCAAACACGTGATCAGATGGTCTCTGACGTTCCCGTTGTGAGGGGCAAATGCAGAGGCAAGGGTGATGGCAGTTAACATGAAAGCGGGAAAACAGGAAGAGACATTTTTGCAGCTTACTGAAGACCTAACAACCCCACTGCTTGTCCGGAGAACAGGCGCCTGTGCTGGGCTATTGGTTTTCAAAGATAACTGAGTGGCCACAGGAGATGAGGGATCCAGAAGGAACACTGTGGTCTGCGTCTCAAGGCTTTGAGACTGAGAAGCTGATGGAAATAGGGAAGATGAGGGCAGCCAGTGAAGACAGAGATGGAAGATGCTGGAGAAACAGGGGTCAAAGTTGGGGGGGCCACGCCTTCATGCTCCTGAAGAAATGGAACGGGGACCCAGGTGGAAAGGTTAAGCTTGGAAATGAGGACATGTGCCTGCTCCTAGAAGGGTCAGGGGACTGTAGCTCCATCTCCTCAGCAAAAGACAAGGCAAGGGGTGGTGCAGTGGTTGAGAATCCGTCTGCCAAGGCAGGGGACACGGGTTCGAACCCTGGTCCAGGAGGATCCCACATGCCGCGGAGCAACTAAGCCCGTGCGCCACAACGACTGAGACCACACTCTAGAGCCCGCTAGCCACAACTACTGAGCCCATGTGCCACAACTACTGAGGCCCGCGCACCTAGAGCCCGTGCTCCGCAACAAGAGAAGCCACCAGAATGAGAAGTCCATGCACCTCAACGAAGAGTAGCCCCCGCTCGCCACAACTAGAGAAAGCCCATGTGCAGCAACGAAGACCCAACACAGCCCAAAATAAATAAATTAAATTAATTTTTTTAAAAAAAGAGAGAAGGCAAGAATGTCTATGGAACCAAGTGCAGGAGACTTGGAAGGTCTGTTGATGTGACGTGCAGCTGCCACGGCTGGGGCCACTGATAAAGCGAGCTAAGAAGGGTGGTCTCAGGACAGCCCAGCAGAGGTCTGGAAGGAGGTGTCCTCCACCCAGGGCTTGAGCTGGACCCAGGCTGCTGGAGGACAGCAACACCTGGTACACACACACACACACACACACACACACACACACCCAGAACCAACCAGAATGAGCCAGAAAATAAACTTGTTTGTGTTAAGACTTCAGTGAGGGCCGTGGCATGTAACTAACAAGCCCATTCTAAGAATAGAGTCTTGGATGATATACTGTTAGTAGCTCAGGGGCCACCAGGAAAGGCCCAGAGACCACCCACAGCCCACAAGCCATAATCTGCCGGGCCCCAGACCAACGCTGGCAGGGGTTAAAAGAGATGCCAACCGCGGGGAAGGGTTTTGTCCTGTCCCACTGAGGAGTCTTATCCAAACTGCATTTTCACTTCCAGCAGTTTTTGTAGCAAGCAAATCCTTCAAAAGTTGAACAGACTTTCTGACAGCAAGAAATTAGCCGAAGAAAAACAAAAATAAGTGATACGACAAATACACTCAAATGTTAATGGCAGAGTCTGAGTGGTGGGTATAGGGGTGTTCACTGCCCTATTCTTTTAACTTTTCCGTATGTTTGAAATTTTCCATAATAAAATGCTGGAAAACGCAAACAAATGGGAGAGCCCGGCAACAGCCTTCAGTTTGCGGTCCCTCCCAGGAGCCTTCCCGGCCCCTCGACATTCACAGTGGGCCAAAGACTGAACCCCTTCCCGGCCTCTGCTGGGGCTGACCCTGACCACCACACCCCAGCCTGGAGGGAGCCCCATTCACCACCTGCCTGCTGGCAGAGGTACAATGAGCCCAAGAGGTTGGGGTCTCCTCCCGGCCACAGAACCCACCTCCTCCTCACCAGTACAATTCCTGTCCATCCCCAATCTCAAGAGGGCTGGAGGGTTCTGCCCCTGCTTCACTAGGTAACTCAGCCAGTACATCACCTTGAGCTGGAGGCACCTCCCTCGTGGAAACAGGAGAGGAACCCTGGGCACCTCTCCTCAAAGGTGCTCCCTTCCCATCATGGGGATTCAGAAAGGGTGCCTGAGAGAGCTAGGCAGCCAGCCAGGCGTGGGGCAGGAGGTGGGGTGGTGGTGTCTGCTGGAGAGTGGGTGGGGAACGCCGCCTGCAATCAGGCAGCTTGGGGTGAGCCACCATCCTGAAGTTGCTTTCAAGGCTTTCAAGGATGTAAGATCACCTCAACAGTCACTTGTTCCACGGGAAGCAGGGCTGAACAGGTGCCGTGGGGAAGCCGAGAGGTCACCACCACTATGAAGGAAGGACCTGAAGGCTGGGCCAGCCAAGACTCCAGCAGGAAGTCAATCAAAAGGGAACCAGGAGAACGTGACAGAGCCCCGAGCCTCCCACTGTTGGGGTGCATGGGAGCTCCCATCTTTTCCAGGTAAAAGGTGGTACAGCCTGACTCCACAGCCCGTGGGACCTGGGTCCACCAGGTAGCTGACACTCGGTGTCACTTGCCCATCGTCACACAGCTGGTGAGTGATGACGGGACTGGGAACTCAGACCAGGGGCTGGTTTAAGCATTTGAAGGGTGGGCTCTGCATGGTCCCAGGGGCGATGGCACCGGGGAGCTGAGGAGCCTACCAGGAGCATCCAGAGCCCAGCACTGCGTAAGGCAGCAGCCCGTTGGTGGAGGTGGGGGTAGAGGTGCTGGGATCGGGACCCTCGGTGAGGACAGAACTGCAGGACTCTGTGGGATTCCACCGCCAAGGCAGGGGAAGCCAGGGGAGGTTTGGAAGGAGGAGACTTCAGAAAAGCAAACCGTGGCAGCGCGACGGAGCTCGGAGGCCGTCTAAACAAGTGGCTTTGAAACGTTTCTGCTCACATATATCCAGACAAAACTATAATTCAAAAAGATACATGCACCCCTATATTCATACCAGCACTATTCACAATAGCCAAGACATGGAAGCAACCTAAATGTCCACCGACAGATGAATGGATAAAGAAGATATGGCACATATATATATATAATGGAATATTACTCAGCCATCAAAAAAGAATAAAATAATGCCATTTGCAGCAACATGGATGGACCTAGAGATTATCCTACTAAGCGAAGTAAGTCAGAAAGAAAAAGACAAATACCATAGGATATCGCTTATACGTGGAATCTAAAATACGACACAAATGAACCTACCTAAGAAACAGAAACAGATTCCCAGAAATAGAGAACAGACTTGTGGTGGCCGAGGTCGGGGGAGGGAAAGACTGGGAGTTTGGGGTTAGTAGATGCAAACTGTTAAATAGAGAGTGGCTAAACAACAAGGTCCTATACTGTAGAGCACAGGGAACTATACGCAATGCACTGTGATAAACTATAATGGAAAAGAATATGAAAAAGAATATATAACAGTCACTTTGTTGAGCAGCAGTAATTAACACAACACTGTAATTTAACTATATTTCAATAAAAAATAAAATTTAAAAAAAGAACATTTTTGCCCAGCAAGTGGAGTAAAAATGCCAGTAACTTCATGACCCAGCGCATGCACCATACACAGTTCACATAACATCCCTACTCTAACCCTGTGCTAGGCGCTCTGGTACTTTCCAATGTCTTCTATTCTGTTCCACGTAATTTTTTTTCATGCTGGTTACAACCATTACATTCATTTTATGACCCATATGTTGTGACTCAGTTTGCAAAACACTGATCTATACTGACTCCATTCTACAGTTGAAGAAACTGAGGCCCAAGTTTACAACAGGCTTTCTCCACCTCGGTGCTATTAACACTGCGGGCCAGATACTTCTTTGTTGTGGTGGCCACTCTGTGCACATAGGATAATTAACAGCATCCCTGGCTTCTACCCATCAGATGACACTAGCCTCCACCCCACCCCCCAAGCTGTGGCAATCTAAAATGTCTCTAGACACAACCAAATGTCCTCTGGGGGAAAAAAATCACCCTGGTTGAGAACTATTGGTTTACACAGCTAACACGGGCAGAGCCCACATCAGGGTTTTCTAACTCCAAGTGCAAACCTCCCTTTGTAACACAAAGCCACCTAACGGGGCGTCTGAGTGCTCAGGATTCAGTTAACCACTAGTGCAGGAGAGAACTCTCCATCAGCCTTATGTTTTATTTGCTTCCTTCCCTCCCTGCAGAACTCAGGAGGGCATCTGATGATGTGCAGCCATTAGGAATATGAGCCATTAGAAAATGCCAGCGACGGACTTCCCTGGCGGTCCAGTGGTTAGGACTCCGTGCTCTCACTGCCGAGGGCCTGGGTTCAATCCCTGGTCAGGGAACTAAAAATCCCACAAGCCACGAGGTGCAGCCAAAATAAAAGAAAACAAACTGCCGGCGAGCCCCGGGGCGGGAGGACACTCCCACAGTCTGCAGACCTGCAGGCCCGCACTTCCTGTAACTGCCAGAAGATGGGCCAGGTATCCATCCCAGAGGTGAGCTAGGGAAGCTCTTCCTGCGGCCCCATCTCCAGTCTGGACTCTTGAATTCAGGAACTGAGGCTCTAAATAAGGGAACAAGGCCTCTCCCAGGTGAGCGAGGAGCATTCAGGGAAGCAGGTGGCAGCTGGGAGCAGAGTCAGACCCGAGTGCTTTCTCTGAGTCTAGAGTGTGGGAGTCACTACTCTGTGTTTCTAACAAACACGCCATCCTCCACTCCTGTGATTCTGATGCAGGCGATCACTGTCCAAAAGCTGCACAACAGCGATCTGATGTGACCTGGCCACATACTGATAGGGAGGCAGAGGTTCATGCTGGGGAGTTCGCCAGAACCTTGCTGGGTTGTCCGTGGCTCTCTCGGGGCTGCTTTGGGAGCCACATCCCGCAGGGTGACTCAGGGACCACCAGAACTCCCGAGGTCTCTCCCGGGTCCCCATGCTGGCCGGCTAGGAGCCTTGACCTGGGACCCTGGATGGAGCCTGCCGGACCGGGAGCCACCATCAGGGCAAGGGGCCTCGCCTTGGCACGAGGTGGCCCTTGATGCTCGGACACAAACACTTTACCCAGGATGTGAACAAGGTTCACAGGAGAGGAATGGGAATTTGCAATTTAGAAGCGAGGAAACAGGATGTCATTGGAGAACAATAGAGCAGAGACGTGTGGGAGGGCACAGCCGTGCCTGCAGGATGGAACTGCAGCGTCCAGGGGTTCTGGGCCCCTTGGCACCTCCGGCCCCCGGAGCAGCGGTGCCAGCCCACCCTGCCGGGCTCAGCTCCTCAGATTATCCCTCTCCTGCCAATACCCCACTCCCACCCCTAAAAAACAGAAAAAGTAGCCGCCCTTGCTCTCTGATGTTAGCAGCACGATTTGGGGTGGGAATTAAACCAATCTACATTGAAATGCGATTGATCTACAGCCTGACTTAAGCCAACTACCTGCCAGAAAATTGACACTTGACAAGAGCAAATTGTAAGGAAAGGAGGACGCAGAGGGGGTATCCCACAGAGATGCTCTGAACTAGAGCGCCCTTCCATTCCTCCTTGGCCCCTGAAACCCAGAGAAGGATGGCCAGAGAGGCCAGACTTCTGACACCAACCCGCGTGGATGTGAGGCAGAGGGGTCAGTGTTACCCCGACTTTGATAGACATGCACCCAAGTGCTCACGGTACACTTGCGACAATGTGGATGGACCTTGGAGGCATTGTGCTCAGTGAAATAAGACAGAGAGAGACAAATACTGTACGATCTCACATGTGGACTCTTAAAAAGCAAGCAAAGCAAATGCACTGTGACTTTTAAGGTGGAGAAATCCACTGCGATAAGCATTGGGACGCCCTGAGGAGGAAGGACCTGGGGCCTCCAGCTTCCCAGGGAAGGTGAGGGGGTGCTTCTTCCCCCCATTGCTGCCTCTGAAGCAAGACGGGTCCCCAGAGTTCAGAGTTCAGGATGACTTCCTCGGTTCCTCATGCCCTAGGGGTGCCTCTGGTCCTTTTCATCACCCGCCTGGTTACCACGGCCAAGGCCACCCTGCATCCCGCTTCTCTCCCTTTCAGAAGCACCAGTTTCTGCTGAGGCTCTACACTAGCCCCTCGTTGCCTGCTGAGTCAAGAAACAAACTCCCCCATCAGGCAGCAAGACCTAGCTCCACCAGCCTGCCCCCATGACCCAGTCTTATACTCCACTATTCCCCAGGCCTGTGCTTCTCAAACTTGCCCCAAACCAGCAGCAGCAGCTGGGAACTTGTTAAGAATGAACATTTCAGGCCCCGCTTCAGATCCACTGACTTAGAAACCTTGGGCGGGGTGGGAGGGATGGGGGACCCCAGCAATCTGTTTTAACCAGCCTCAAGGTGAGCCTGATGTGCGCTGGAAATAGGGAACCACGGCTCCCAGCACAAGGACCTCCCCACTGGGATGCACGGCCCCAACATACACCCTTTCCAGAGCCTTCCCTGTGCTCCTGCTGTCCCCCCTGCATGGGGCATCTTCCCGGTCCTCTCTGCCCAAGCAAAACCCCCTCCTCCAAGGTCTGGCACAACATGCTGTTCATGAAACCAGCTCTTCGGTACAACAGAGCACCGCGCTTCCTGGATCCCCTGTTCGGTCATGACAGAGACCCCAGAGAGCTAAGGAAACAGAGATGAACGTGACATGGTCCTTGCCCTGAGGGATTCACGGAGGAGTAGGGGAAATGGCATTGCAGTGAAGTTCAGACTACTCAAGTCACACTGGGATAGGTTTTCCAGCAGAGGCAGGGCAGGTAGGGGAAAAGGCAGGGCAGGAAGGGGGTAGCCAGAGAAGCAGGAGAACCCATGCGACTTCCCTGGCAGTCCAGTGGTTAGGACTCCACGCTTCCACTGCAGGGGCCTCGGATTCGACCCCTGGTTGGGGAACCAGGATCCCACATGCTGTGTGGCATGTCCAAAAATAAATTAACTAATTTTTAAAAAAAGAAGCAGGAGAACCCAGAGCTAAGGCCAGCTGTCAGCTCACTCAGCAACCAAGCAGAGCCTCGTCCAGCGACAGACACAGAGGGTTCCGCTCCCATCCTTCCTGACTGATGGAGTTAACACCCCAAGATCCCTACAGCCTGCATCTCGTGTGAGGGTCTGGGTGTTGACTAAGATGCTCTCCTTGACCAATTCTCCGTAACCAAACCTGAGTCAGGCTCCTCGGAGCCCTCTCCTCGGTTAGGTGCCCCCACGGACTCTGTCCTTGGCCTGCTTAGTCCAGTTTTAGCAAGAACCCTGCTGGGTCAGTTTCGCGAAAATCCCCTACCCTCTGTATCTGATCATATTCCTTGTAACCCACCCTGGACATCGTATCCCCCCGGCCTCCCTTCAGCAAGAATCCTGTCAAGTTGGTTTAGCCAGAATTCCCCCTGACCCCTGGTGTTTCCTCTTAAGTCGTTTTCCAACAGCAACCCACACCCAGCTCCCTGACTATAAGTCCCCACTCGTCTTTGTTATATTCGGAGTGGAGCCCATCTCTCCCCTCTACTGCAAAACCTCCGTTGCACTGGTCCGTCCTGAGTAAAGTTTCCCTCGCTCTCCTTATAACTATTGTCACGAAAAATTTTGCTGTCACAGTGTGGGTCTGTCCGTTGCCATCTCCCCCTCCGCACGCCCTGCCCCGCCAAGGCTAAGGACTCCGCCTTTGCCGGGTTTTGCTGCATCCCTCACTCATGCACCGCACACATCTCGTTAACTGTTAAGAGTGTGAAGGTCTCACCAAACCACCGTGTTCCGTCGCTGCCTCCAGCCCCACTCCCAGCCCTGGAAAGTGCCCTCCTCGCCTTAACACAGAAGAAAGGTCCTTCTTCCTGACAAGCCCAGGATCGAAAGCCGCCAGCTCTTCCTTTATTATCCATCAGCCCTTGGGAGGATCGTGCAACCTCCCTGGGCTTCAGTTCTTCATGTGTGAAGGGGGGTGACAGTACCTGCCCCTACATCTCAGAGCTGCTGCACGGGGGCAGAGATAACACGGGCATGATACCAGCACTTTGGAATACAGGAGGTGCTCAACATCAGCTGATACTCTGAATTCCAGCAAGAACATGCAACCTTCCTTCCCCTTTCTACAGGCTTTTGCTATCAAAAACCACCTTCTGGGTCATCAATTCTCCCGATGCTTCAGGGCTTCCAGAGCATTGCCTGGACCCAGAGCAACAGACTCAACCACTGGAGAAGCATGAAGACTCTCTCCATCCACCAGGCTCCCACGGGTAGAGGCCCAGGGAGAAGCCGAGGGAATCCCCATGTCATGGAGAGGCCATTCCCCACCATGCTCTCCGCTCAGGCACTGTCCTAAGAGTAGGAAATCTCAACCCGCAATCCCCAAGGCCCTCAACTGCCAGGGCTGAGCTATGCTGTCCCCACTCCCCACCCGCCTCTGAGTTCCTCCCCTCAGGGCCCGGACTCACCTATGAGAGAGAAGGAGTGTGTCTGGCAGTCCCCCGCCAGGAGATAACTACAGCTTCCCTCAAAGCTGTACATGCTCTCATCAAAGGTGTTGATGGAGTCACCTCCAAAGAGGCTGCATCGGGCCATCGATGACCTGCCAAGAGTGCCTTCTCCACAAAGGGCCCCTGGAGGGAAAGGCCACACGTGAGCACAGCTGGCACCACCAGCCCAAACCACTGCAGCCTGTTAGAAACGAGGCTGCGTCTGTTAGAAATTAGGCTCCGGGGAAGAACTTTCCATCCTCAATGACAATAAAGCTGTTGCTTTCAGCCCCAAAATATGACCCAGGACTCAGCAATAATGGAGGAACTGTTTTTCAGGAAAACCTATTCATTTTAATGACATATATTCACTGATTTTAAAGGTACTGTGTGCTCATTAGAGAGAATTGGGAGACTATGGAAGAATAACAAAAAGAAATTAAAATCATCTGTAACCAACATTCAGCAATAACTAGAGTTAACGTTTTAGCGTTTATCTTTTATTTCTATTTTACTGTGTATATACACTTACAGATTTTTTGCAAATTTGTCAGCATGCTGAGCAAACTGTTTATAACCTGTTTATTTCTCAATATATTGTAAAGAATTTATCATGCCATACTTCCAAAACATTTTTGGTGGCTGCATTATATTTTGCATCTAAATGTATTTGGTATAGGTTCTAGCATTTTCCAGTTTTCTGATATGTACATAGATTGTAATGAGCATCCTTCTACACTAATCTACTGGTATATCTTGAATATATTGAATTCTAAACAGATCAACCTGTGTGGCTGACACACAGAATCTGAGAAGTATTGACTCCTGCAGGGTCATATGCTATCTCCTGCCACTCTCACACTGTGTGTGTGTGTGTGTGTGTGTGTGTGTGTGTGTGTGTGTGTGTGTGTGTGTGTGTGTGTGTGTGTGTGGGGGGGGGGGGGG